GGATCGAACCCAGGGCCTTGTGCTTGCTAGGCAGGCGCTCTACCACTGAGCTAAATCCCCAACCCCCAGATCCTTTTAAAATAGTTCTGTCCCTTAAAGAGTCCTCAACAGTGAGCTAGAGAAAAATGTAGAACATATGCTCTTTCTATAGCTCTGAACAAAATTCCTATTAAGCTACTCTCAGCCTGGACAGTTTTACTCGTCAGGGTAGCCTTGGCAGTGTCTGTAATATCTGGCTTGTCACAACTGGGAGTCCATGATGCTGTAGGCATCCAGTGGACAACCAGAGGATCTGAGGTGCTGCTTAACTTCCTACAGCATACATGTTAGCCACACAACAAAGAATGACCCAGCTCTAAATGTCAGTGCCACCAGGGCACAAAGCCTGTCTTAGTCACTGCAAATGTTAACATGCAGTAGCAGATCTTTTATAGACATTTCCAGAAATGGAACAGCACAGCCTTCATAGAAAGCTTTTTTCTGTGTCTCTCAGAGGAACTGGATATATTAGTCTTAATACTTGATAGATAAAATCTTAAACTGCAGAAAAGGCTGGCCATATACCTAAGTCAGTCAGTATCTTAATAATACCTAACTAGAATAAAGTATCCAAATGTGATTTAAAACAACTGACCCTATTCCAGAAGAGTAGTCAACAGTACTTGAATGCATGAGATGACTACCCACTCATTCATCATAAATGTTTATTATGTATCTCTTACCCAAACAGAATTCTGACAGTTTCTCCCCCCCATCCTTCCCTCATTTATCTCTTTTTACTTATTTTATTCAGAGTTTCACATTTGGCTCTGAACTCATGACCCAGCCTGGCCTGGAACCTACAACAGTTCTGCCTCATGCTCCCTCCTGCTGGGATTATAGTTGTGGGCCACCATGCTCATCATTTGGAGACAAACCCTAGATGGCCAAAGAAACAGTCATGAATCACATGTATGACTACAGTTTTGTTGTTGTTGTTGTTGTTGTTAAGGAAGTCACTAGACATGCTTCATTAGAACTTTCGATCTTTATGGCTGACATTTTTGGAAACTATGCCCTTGTGATGTCTCAGGACTCTTAAGAGCAGCAGTCCTTTCATTTTGTGAATTTACTACATCAATCTTAGTTAACAGCAACATGAGAAAAGAGGAAGAGGTTTTATGTTTTGTTTGTTTGCTGGGAAGATGAATCGGTTTGTAGAGAACTTGCTGTACAAAGATCGAGGAGCTGAGTTTGAATTCCCAGAACCCGTGTAAAGCCTGAAGTGGTAGCATTTCTCTATAATCTCAGTGCTCCTAGGGGGAAATGGAGGGCAGAGACAGAATGCCTGGAAACTCGATGGCCAGCTAGCTTGGTGTCCAGTGGCAAACAAGAGACCCTGTCTCAAGCAAGGTAAAATGTGAGGACTGATACCAAAGTTATCCCCTACCTCTACATGTGTAAAGTCAGCAGGTATGATTTAATTTCCTAGACAAATGTCCTAAAGGAAAGTAGAAGTCTGATTTCTTTTTAATCATTGACCTCTTAACCCTGATAACTTTAGGC